GTTTTAAAATAGTATATTACTTAAGCAAATATTTAAATATTAAATTAGGTTTTCTGTAAGCTTGATGTGAATATAATTCTGCCTGCCTGCCAAGTATGTCAAAACCCCAAGCCTACTTTCGTTTGCCAGGGTAAATGTTTATTTTGTTTTCCCACATAATGTGCTCTTTAAAGTGTCACCAACATACCAAATCTGATTGCTTTTTAATAGAGACATGGTGGGGGTTTTTTTGCTTTCATTAGGAAACAGGATAAATTATCAGTAAAGCTCATGCTAATGAATCGACGTAAAGTTGATTTTCTTTGCATGTCTTTTTTTGCCTTCCAACCCCTTTGGAATCATCCCTGCATCCCAGAAAAAAACATTAATCAGAACAATTGCATTTGTTATGCCAGTGCTGGAATGTTACTTTCTCATATATTTGGAACATTATCAAACAATGGATTTAGCATGTGGGCCATGCAAACTTTTGCTTCCCATTTCAATCTTTCAGATTCAGATTCATAACTTCTCTGTACATGGTAGGTAGTTTCAAAGTTGTTACTTGAGAATGGGGTGGGATAATTATGAACACAATAGGATGAAAACAGCTTTATAGCTTTCTCCTTGATTTTGGCTTTGCATGGCTTTGCTTTTTTGTGGGTTTTACTTTGCATAAAGGTAAAGGACCCCTCACAGTTAAGTCCAGTCGTGAACGACTCTGGGGTTGCAGCGCTCATCTCGCTTTATTGGCTGAGAGAGCAGGCGTTTGTCCACAGACAGCTTCCAGGTCATGTGCCCAGCATGACTAAGCCTCTTCTGGCAAACCAGAGGAGCACACGGAAACGCCGTTTACCTTCCTGCCGGAGCGGTACCTGTTTATCTGCTTGCACTTTGACATGCTTTTGAACTGCTAGGTTGGCAAGGAGCAGGGACCGAACAATGGGAGCTCACCCCGTCACGGGGATTCGAACCGCTGACCTTCTGATCTTTTGCATACCAGGTTGTAATAAACCGTAACAATTAGTGCTCTCCAACCTCACCTTCCCTAACTTGAATGAGGTTATTATATATTCTGTGATGTGAATTGGGCTAGTTTTACCTAAACACTTAAAAACTTTGGCAAATGTTTTCAGTAAAGTTAATATTTAGAACTTTCAGTGAAACTCAGCTTGAACAAAATTTGTTGGTTTGAAATTATATTGATGAAGCAATAACCACAATAATATTAGGTGGGTCGTAATATTTAATCAGACATTGGAATAGGAGTGTAGCAGCTTCCACCACCTCCTTCACTAGCTAGCCTTAATCTCTGCTATTCTAGGTGGGAGGTAGGATCCAAAATTGTTATTTCTGTCCAAACAGGAGAAACCACATCCCTGGTCCTCTAGTAATGAATAGAAAGATTAAATTGAGCAGACCAGATTGGAAGCAGCTTTTGCTATCGACAATATTAATGCTAAGATGTTGCTCTCAAACTTTCCCAACTTACCCCCAAGTCCATTTGAATTCACTCTGTCTTTACAGTAATCCCTTCCACAAATGTGTGTGCAAAAATTCTCAAGTGCTCACTATCCCAATGTTGGAAAGAGAAATAGAACAGGGCATCTCCAACTGTTTTCTAAAACCACATGTAGGGAACTTCCTTCTTCCCAAATAAGGTCTGCAAATATTTTAAAAAGAAGTTGAGAATTGCTCCAGGCTTAAGGGGTGGTGGTAGTATTGTATCAGGAATTGGAGTGGGAAATCTTCAGAATGGAAAGCTCTTTTCCCCCCCCCAGCCGTCCTTCAGATGATATGGCAGGTACAGTTTTACCAGATGCGCCAGTGTTATGCTGGTGTTTTCAAGAGCAAATATGAAAATTGCAGGTGAACACAAACATTTGTAAAAGCTTGCATGTGCATGTCTGGCAGCCCTGAGTAAGCCAGGGTGTAAACTGGTGTTTAATGATGAGAGTATGCTTGCTAGCCGCCTAACGGCAGAATCATTTCTGTTCTATGAAAAGTGAGGAAATTATTCATGGGAAATTGTTCTAAAGAAGAACAAGTCCACATCAGGTGGGGTGAGTCATCTCTCTCTCAGGTTCCATGAGACCTCGAGTAGCTGAGCAGCGGTACATTCTTCAGCCTGCGGGGCATGCTTCCATCTGGTAACCTGGGGGCCGGATGGCAGTGGCAGGTGGGACCAGAGGCAAAAGTGATCAAAGCAATCGATGCAAATGTCACCTTTGCACAGGAGGCTTCCCTTTACGCAGAGCCATCCAACCCTCTCTGTTCTCCGTCCAGGCAAGGAAGAAGCATCACCACACCAAGAGCACATTTCAGCCAGGTTCCCCATTCCTGTTATCTGAGCCATGGAGTGAGTGGTGAAGGGAGCTTCAGCAGTTTCTCCTGAGGAAGAAACAGAAGGCTGAAGAACCCATTTGTGTTTCACCTGGCTGAGTTCTTCCTAGGGTACCCTAAGAACTTCCACAGAGGAAAAAGATACTTCAGGTAGAAGGGGAGAGAAAAGAGGCTTTTGTGCTCCACCTTCCTCCTGACGCCCTTTTAGGTTGAGATCTTGGCCTGCCTTCTCGTTACATTGGAAGATTCCGGACAACGTACATGAATCAACCAGCTGCATGACTTCAAAGGCTTCTATGTCTTACATACTCATTCAAACTAATGGATAGGACAGAAAGAACAGTCTGCTTCATAATGCAGGGATAAGTAAGATAACAAAGAATTCTCTGTATATCTGCTCTTTATTGTCAAATCTGCAGTTTTATCACAACATCCATCAATCTGTCATAAAAAGGTTTTGTTAGCTTCAGCACAAGACCCAAAGTGTGTCTAATCTTTAAAATGGTTCATGCCCTACTGCCCTCTTTTTCTTTGGTTTCCACTTAAGCAAAAAGTGGATTTAAGAAGAGCAAGTTGGTTAAATTTTATAATGAAAGTCCTGAGATAAGTTTTAAGACAGCTAGGATTTGGAACAGAATTTTCAACTCTGTGATATTTAACTGCTGTATGGTACCGTTTTCATTTTTTCTTTTCATTGGAGGCTGATCTTCTTTACTTAACTAGGAGCTGGTTTGTGTAAAATATATTCTTTGTGGTCTCTGTGAAGCCCCATAAAGTTTTGGAGCTTTGAGAGGAAGTTTCTGCCGATTGTCCTGGCTTGCACCTTTTCTCACCCCGCACATAAGTAATGAGTGGAGCTTGTGCTTTCCTGCTCAATTTCAGAATTAATTAATTCAAATATATGCAATAGAATTTATTGCTTGTAGTTCTTTTGTATCTTCATATGTGTCTTTAAACCTGTGATTCCATTGGTTAGACCAGGTACCACAAAAAAGTATTCTGTTTTCTTCTGGGATAAATCTTCACATCACAAGATAGATTTCCATTGCTATTCTGGCATGCAGTATTTCTTTGTTAGGCATTTGTGTTGCAAGCCATGGAGGAGGAGGATAAATCCACTTTTAACTTAGGTTAATCTCGAGTTGCTTGAATATGCAGGATACTCTGTCAGTGGTAGATGATACGACATCAAGATTTCTTCCAAACGTACCAGGGTTCTAAAACTAGAGGACTAAATATAAACTGTTGCTTCTATGCTTACAAACTAAATTAAGCAAAATTAATAATTACTACTTTCTCCTTTCTGGATTTATGCATGTTCTGTCAGGTTCATAAGTGTTAATTATCTATTTGTGTTGCTATGAGTCAAGTGTGTTCCAGTTTTGGCTCCACTGAAGTTACTTGCTTTTGTGTTCAAAAAATGCATGTGGCAAATTCTTGGAGTGTTTTGATGCTGTTCTCAGCATGATTTTGTCCTCCTTTCATCACTGTCCTTGACAAAATTTACCCAGATATGGGCAATTAATCCAGTGGTCAGTGTTCTGCCAACCAACTGATTCATTAGCTCTGATAGCCAGTTGCGTTAATCAGCAATAAGGGCTAATGATGCTGAGGAAAATGAGAACAAAAAGAAGGGAAATGGCACTAGAAGTTCCCCCAATCTTTTGTGTTAAAATGTTGCCCACTTGCAGGCAAAGTTCCCATATAGATATGCTAAGGAAACATAGGAGTAAGGTCCATTTTAAATCACCAGCATTTCCTTCAGTGTAAATGTGTTCAGAATTTCAGGGTCAGTTGCACATAATTTAGGCAAGGAGCATTGCCTTTTATGTTGAATAATGAGAATAGAGCAGATGAAGAACCTAAGCAAATAATAATTAATAATGTTTATACCCCGCCCATCTGGCTGGGTTTCCCCCGCCACTCTGGGCGGCTTACAGTACATATAAAAAATTGTGAAATATCAGACATTAAAAACTTCCGTAAACAAGGCTGCCTTCAGATGTCTTCTAAAAGTCAGATAGTTTATTTCCTTGATTTCTGATGGGAGGGTGTTCTACAGGGTGGGCGCCACTACTGAGAAGGCCTTCTGCCTTCAAGCAGATCAGAAGATGGGCTTAGCAGTTTGGCCAGTTTTGTCTTGTCAGTTTGCACAGGCAGCAAATAAATGAGTAACGTAAAGAGAACAACCTGGATTACAAGCTGGCCCAATGAAGAGGCCTCTAATTTCAGATGTTTTAAAACCAGTATCATATCTGCTGTGCAGTTGATGCAGTAAAGGATAAAGAGCAAAGTCAGGGGGTGTATGTCATATGTAATAATTTCCTGTGAAGACAGCAATGCAATATGCATTGATGAGCATGGACTCATCAATATGCATTGATGCATTGATGAGCATGGAGCTTTGATGAATTGATGCATTGATGAGCATGGAGCTTTGATGAATTGTCAGAATGTTCAATATCATCAACTTTTGCTTGCTTGCTTGCTTGCTTGCTTGCTTGCTTGCCAGCCACCCATCAGCAACCACAGTAAAACATCAAACATTAAGAAACATTGAGAAATTAGTAGTACTAATTTAGTGTTGAGAGTTGCTTTCAGGCCTACAGTTGGAAGGGTTTTGTGATGCTATGCATTTGGATCTATGAATAACAAGTGTCGTTTATATTGTTTTGCAGAGGGCAGAAAGACAGGCACGAATGATGGACTCTGCACAATATGCAGAATTCTGTGAAAGTCGTCAACTAAGCTTTTGTAAGTGTTATGCCATAATAATTATGCTGTTCCAGACTGTAATTTTACAATATATTGTAATCAGACAGATCAAGTATGCAACACCCCCTTAATTTTATTTCTGAGTTGCAAGAGGGAGAATGCACTCCAAACGTCCTTCTCATGGCATGGATCCTCTGCAGGAGGTTTTGCTTTCCTGTGCTTGTGGCAATGTGGTCTCATTGGTGCACGTGAGGATGTGTTAGATCCAGGGCTGGGCGATAGCAGCTTTCCAACATTGTGGTGTAGCAGCATGATGTTGAAAAGGAAGGAGCGTCCTTCAGCCCCAGCCCTGCGAGGCACTGGGTGGGGTGAAAGCACTGCCGCTCCCTCCACTGACAGCACCCGGCGGCGCGCAGAGGGGAGGAACAAGCAGCACCAGCCCTGGCCCCAGGTGGCCCCAGGGTGAAACTGCTGCTGGTCCTGTTGCTGCCAGCACTCGACGCAGGGAGGAAGGAGGCAGCGCAGAAGGAAGGTAAGGCACAGGCAAGCCCCACCCACTGCTGGGTGAAGGTGCCTTCATGCTCTGGCCATCAAACCGGTCCTGGACGATGTCTTGATACATTGCACAGGCCTAGTTAGATCTGAGATGTAGGCAGCTGTTGCATCGTATCCAGGAGCTAAGAATTGGGAGCAGAGACCATGGCATCACCATGACATCAGGTGAAGTGATTCCCTTTGCCTGGGTGGTTTGAAGTCAAACCATGTGGGCAAAGGTATAGGAGGTTGCTACCCCCCCCCATACAGTGGTCCCTGCCTATCAGCTGCTAGGAGGTGTTTGCAAACCCTTCTACTGGCAGGGAGCCGTCCCCTCACCTGCGACACATCTGCTACCCTGTGTGATGTCAGGTATAAGGCAGGTGGCTGTGGTTTGGGGAACCAGCTTTGTGGCCAAATTGGGAACCGGGTTAAGGCTTTGGAGGCCCATAGTTCTCCAAGTTTAACATCTGTTCTGGATAACTTGGTGGTAGCATTGTTGCATTAAACAGTTAAGCCTTGTCCCACTAACCTTTTAGTGTTCTTTGAGAGTGTCAATAAGCTTGCAACTATTCATGTGGGTTGGCAGTTATTGTTTACTTGGATTTTCAAAAAGCTTTGAAAATTCACACTTCTCTGACTTTTGTAATGCAGTTGTCCAGTCAAATGATGTACAAAAAAAATGCTTATAGAATCATAGGCTTGTAGAATTGGGAGGGACCCTCACCAAGACTGCAGAACAAACAGATAAGAGAAGCTAGTAGCCATGAGATAAGAGGGGTTAAGGACAGCATGGCTGTGAATACCAGCTGCTTCGGAACAGGAGTAGGAGAGCGATACAGTGCTCATGTCACGCCTGTGATCTTCCCATAGTCATCTGACAGGCCACTCTGGGAATGGAATGTTGGACTAGGTAGCATAGACTTGGTGGTTGTTCTCCACTGTCTCCGAAATGGGTTCAGAAATGCAAACAAGTGAATTGTCTCGAACCATTCTGGAACATGAGAGAGCTTTAAGTACAGAAAATGAGATGTCTAAACAGTATTCTTTTCTATTATGGAAAGAGATCACCCCCCTTATCTTAGCATTTTCTAAACTTTTTATCTTCCTTTCCAAATCTGTTTCTCTGCTGAAGCACCCCAAACGTCTGTCCTGGAATCCCAGGGTCTTGCAGAGGGCTCTGCTGATTTCAGAGCACTGGTCATGCCCATTGGGTCTCAGCATCATTCTGTGCAAATTAAGGATGAATACACATATCGTATTTTCTGAGCAGTGAAGCTGCTTTGGAGGCCTCCCCCCCCCACACGTTCATTATAAATGTACTTGGTTCTCTATGGAGCTCAGCCCTGGGGGAAAATGGTTCTGAACATTTCACATGGAAGCTGGTGTCACATGTTATTGACTGACTAGCCCCCCCCCCCCACACATTATCAAGAAACCACCACCACTTTGGAGCAGGTTTCCTCCTTTAAAAACCATTTAAAATAAATGATAATATATGAACATTGCTTTGTTTTATTTGTGTTCTTGTTTTATTATGTATTTTGTGTTTTTATATTGTATTTTTATTCTGTTAAGTGTCTTGAGATCTTCGATTAAAGGGCAGAATACACATTTAATAAATAAAAATAAAATAGAAAACATTCCACCTATTGGGTACCACTGCTGTCACACTAGAATTTCAAGCAGGGAAAGGGAAAGCCCGGATCGCAGTTCAGTAGGATCATTAGCAATGGAGGATAGTTCTAATGAGATTGTGGTGTAGCTTAAGGTTCACTCTAAAAATTTACTTGCACAATGTTTCTGTGAGAGGCAAGACATGTCAACTGCCTGCTTGACCCCTGACCTGGATGAAACCTATTTGAGGAAAATATTAAGAACTTTATATTTTTCAGAGTAATGGTCTGCACCTCCTTAGTGAGGTCTGTCACACAAGGTAAGAAAGTTCAGCTGCAGTGATGAGAAAAGTACTTGATCATCAGTTAGTAGTTATTTGAAGTTAGCTAATGTTAACTAAATTACCGTATTTTTTGCTCTATAAGACTCATTTTTTCCCTCCTAAAAAGTAAGCGGAAATATGTGTGCGGCTTATGGGGCGAATGCAGGCTGCGCAGCTATCCCAGAAGCCAGAACAGCAAGAGGGATCGCTGCTTTCACTGCGCAGCGATCCCTCTTGCTCTTCTGGCTTCTGAGATTCAGAATATTTTTTTTCTTGTTCTCCTCCTCCAAAAAATAGGTGTGTCTTGTGGTCTGGTGCGTCTTATAGAGCGAAAAATACTAACAATTTCCATTTCTGCCCAACATGTTTTCTAAATTAATATTTGTAAGCTTCTTTCTGTGCTTGTTTCAAATTACAAAAATCATCAGTGCATACTGCTGTTGTGCCAAATAACATAATGAAAGCATTAGAACTTTAACAAACTTAAGAAACAACCCATTAAAAGATTTGTGGGACACAGTTACAGTCGGCTTCGTTATACAAAAAGAGAGCACTGTAGAAGCAGATGATACTTACGAGTTACAAGTTGGAGATAAAGAGACTGCACTGAAAAGCACGACAGAAGAGCACATGGCATTGCATTAGGAAAGCACAATGGTGTTCCATAGCAAGCATTAAATTTGGAGAAATGAGTAATTTGCTTATGGATCACAATGTGAAAAATAAATGACCCATCCAAGATTGCGCCCTTTGTAAATGTCAGGCAGTGGGGAAGCTGGTCTTGTAAGTAGTGTAGTTACTATTCAGTGCCTTTTTGTGAGCTTAGTTTTTAGACCATTGCATGACAACTGTAAATATTTGTGCTGACAATTTTTTTCATATTAAAGTAATGTCAACATCTGAGAAGGTTGTGATGCACTCACAGTTTGCACCAAATAATTATATATTTGAGACCACACCAATATGAATCTTCAATATGCAAAATAGTATCATTGAAAACCCTTGAACTTGAGAAGCATTGAGGGGGTGGGACACAGTACTGTGTTATTATTCACACACAGAGGGCAAACAAGAATAATGGCTATATTTTAATAATCCTATTTAAACCTGCTAACCTGAGAAGTACCATATGGACATAAGGATACCTACTCGGAGGTGCAATTGAAGGCTGGGTTCAGTGGACATGGACTTTGGTCTGGCATCATAACACAACACAGAACACTCCTTAATGTCATTACATACAGGCAGCTCTCAATTTGTGCATGTTCAATGCTCCTGGGTGCTGCTGGAGTTGGTGCTACATCTGGATGTTCATGTGGCCTTAATATTAATGAGCTTCAGTCAGCATGCCAACTAGGAGCTTCCTGGAAGAAGCAGACATGTTCATTGGTAATTAATGCCTAATCACATTCTGGTTCTCCTAGATCACAGCCACTGTGTTCAGGATCCAGAATGGCAACTTCTGCTCCTTATGCCAAAGGGTTATCATCTCTTGCCGTTTATGAATAGTGAAATGTAGAAGAGGAGTCAACATTAACATTGCACCTCTTTTGTGTTTTATCTGCCCAGCCAAGAAGGCTTCCAAGTTCCGGGACTGGCTGGACTGTAGCAGCATGGAAATAAAACCCAATGCTGTTGCCATGGAAATTTTGGCTTATTTAGCTTATGAGACTGTCGCACAGGTAAATGAGTGCACTACATGGATCAGAGAATTTGCGGTGGGGAATGCCCTTCCCTTTTCATGCACACACACACACACACACACACACACAGTGGTACCTCGGGTTACAGACGCATCAGGTTACAAACTCCGCTAACCCAGAAATAGTACCTTGTGTTAAGAACTTTGCTTCAAGATAAGAACAGAAATTGTGCTCCGGCGGCAGCAGGAGGCCCCATTAGCTAAAGTGGTACCTCAGGTTAAGAACAGTTTCAAGTTAAGAATGGACTTCCAGAACGAATTAAGTTCTTAACCCAAGGTACCAGTGTGTGTGTGTGTGTGTGTGTGTGTGCGTGCATGCTGTGGAGTGTAAAATGATGCTATAGACTAATGCAACACAATGTGCAAGATAGGTTGGAAAACTCTGCATGTATATCCAGTATACCTGAAGGAGCGTCTCCACCCCCATCGTTCTACCCGGACACTGAGGTCCAGCGCCAAGGGCCTTCTGGCGGTTCCCTCACTGCGAGAAGCCAAGTTACAGGGAACCAGGCAGAGGGCCTTCTCGGTAGTGGCGCCCTCCCTGTGGAACGCCCTCCCATGAGATGTCAAAGAGAACAAGAACTATCAGACTTTTAGAAGGCATCTGAAGGCAGCCCTGTTTAGGGAAGCTTTTAATGTTTGATGTATCGCAGTATTTTAATATTTTTCTGGAAGCCGCCCAGAGTGGCTGGGGAAGCCCAGCCAGATGGGCGGGGTATAAATAAATTATTATTATTATTATTATTATTATTATTATTATTATTATTATTATTATTATTATGGCAAAGATCCAGACCTGTCCAAGCACATGCTACATAATGGCTGTGATATTTTTCAGAATGAAGTTGAAACCTAAACTTTACGGTGCATATCTTTGTTAATAAAGTAGTCAACAAGTAAATAAGACTGGCTCTTCCATTTTCCCCTCAGCTGGTGGACCTGGCCCTTCTCGTCAAGCAGGACATGACTCCCAAAGCTGGGGACCCTTTCAGCCATGCAATATCTGCTACTTTCATTCAGTATCATAGTTCTGCTGAGGTAAATATGGGACCAAAGATGAACTTGGCATATCAGCGCAGGGCCATTCTTTCGGTGGTGCTTGTGGGTCTGTCTCGACCCAATCCTCTCCCTTCTAGGAGAATGAGTACAATTCCGCTTGCATTTGCTCCTCTGTGTCCTAGTGGGTTATTGTGCTGCTTCTTGTATGTGTGATGCCCAGAAAGAATCATGCTGGCAGGCTTGCTCGTAAGAGGGTCCATGGAGAGAGATTGGCTCCAGCCCATCCTTCCTCCTTACAACAGATCAAGAGGAGGAATATATTATGTATATTTTAAATATTTTTATTATGTCTACTTGTTGATTTATCAGTACTTTTTTCATAAATAATCACACTATTTTATGCAAACAGTTTTGAGTTTTTTAATATTTGGTTAAGCCATCTAGAATTTTTTTTTAATTATACAAATAAATGTCATTCACTTACCTGGTGTGCCCCAGATTCTAAACTAGAGCTCTGTAAATGTTCTGGGTTTGTGCTTCTACTGCCTGGTGGCTATATTCAGAGAACAATAGTCATAGTCAATTAACTCAGTTTTAACTGCTGTTGGTCTATTTAGATGCATGTTTTGGGGCAAGCAACAAGTCTGAAGACCAGTCCAGACTCTCCTGAAAGCACCCCGCCACCAACGCCCACCCCTCCAGCTGCAGGCCCACAGCACCTTGGGAAGGCTCCGTCTGGATCCATGGGCAATGGCAGCATTGGGCAAGACTCCTCAAAAGCCAAGCAGCGAAAGAGGAAGAAAGTGGGTTTGCAAAGACAGGAGGAATGAATATTGCAATTATAAGTATACCGTACTGTATATTAGAGACATTTAGAAATGTTGCTGTTGTCTTTTAATGTAGACTTATAATGTTAATTATCTGTTCAAAATGGTATTCTCAGGTGTTGCCTAGGTTGGCCAAGGGAACAGGTGGTGCAAAAATCACACCTCTGCTCACTTCTGGCAAGGGCACAAGGTCCGGGGGGGTGGACCGACACAGCTCCTTGCCAAGGGCACAAAGGAGCCTAAGTACACCTCTAGGTATCCTGTACCTATAATCTGAAGTGTTACAACCCGTTCTAATACAGTGGTACCTCGCAAGACGAATGCCTCGCAAGATGGAAAACTCGCAAGACGAAAGGGTTTTTGGTTTTTTTAGTTGCTTCGCAAGACGATTTTCCCTATGGGCTTGCTTCGCAAGACGGAAACGTCTTGCAAATTTGTTTCCTTTTTCTTAAAACCGTTAATACAGTTGCGACTTGACTTCGAGGAGCAACTCATAGCCTTTTTGTGGTAGCCTTTTTTTAGGTTTTTGAAGACTTTGGTGATTTTTGAAGCTTTCCCAAAACTTTTCCGAAACCGTGCTTCGCAAGACGAAAAAATCGCAAGACGAAAAAACTCGCGGAACGAATTAATTTCATCTTGCGAGGCACCACTGTACCTCAGGATGCTACCATCTTTCTCTGCAGCATGTATGGATTGACCAGGCCTTCGAGTGGTTCCTGAAGGATTAGACACCAGGCGATGGTTTAGGAGCATAGAATCATAGAGTTATCTAGTCCAGTGCAGCAAATTCATGACCAGAGCATTCTCAACACATGTTCCACTTCATGCTGTCAAATGTGTGATTTCAAATGACAATTCAGTATCCTTTGGAGAATACAATTAGAGATCTTGCACATTCCTATTTGAATTACTGCTATCTTTGAGGCTGCCAATGGGAAATGCTATGTAGATAGTTCAAAATATAGCAACTAGAATACTAACTGGAACTGAGTCACCTCCCATCAAATCAAATCAAATCAAAACTTTATTAGCAAAGCCAACAGGCCACAGCTGTACAAAAGTTAAAAGTGAAAATAGGGATAAAAGGAAGAAAAGAACAGGCAAAAGGAGGTCCGTCGGGTGAACAAGTCTGTCACTCAGATGGTGGCCCTCAATTTCGCAGCTCTCTCGATGTACCTCGCGACCTTCTCTGTTATCTGACTATCCGTATCAGATAATAGAAAATACAGTATAATGTCTGGTGAACGGCCGGGGTTGGAGAGAATGAGTGGAGTAATAATCTCATTCCTTAGGTCTTTGTAAAGGGGGCAAGAAAGAAGGACGTGGGACACTGTTTCCGTGTTACCATCTCCACATGGGCAGAGTCGTTTTTCAAATGGAGTCTTTTGGTAACGACCTTCGAGTACAGCAGAGGGAAGAACATCCCATCTAGCCAATGTAAAGGCACGTCTGTATTTTGGGATGGTTAGTTTAGACAAATATGAAGCTGGAGAGTCAAAATGAGAAAGGGGAAAGTAGGTATACCATGGGCACAGTTTCTTTAAGATAGTCAGGTTGTTTTGTCGTTCAATGTCTTTCAGGCGCTGGCCTATTAGACTCTTTGCTTTAATGAGGCCCATTGATAGTAGGGACTGTGAGTGCAGACCGCATGTAAGGAGTTTTTGATGCACAGTTTTGAACCACTTGCTTTTGTGAGGGTCTTGCATTACTAGCGGCAGTAGACCAGGTGGATTCAGATTAAGACGAAGCCAGAAGTTGAATGTTCTCTGCCAGGTCCGAGTTTCCACAGATGGAAGGCAGGCCTCGAGTCGTAATGCTGCGTTTGGAACACAGGAGGGGACGCCGAGTATCTGCCTTAGAAATTTGGACTGGACAGTTTCAAGACTGGAGCAGTGGTTCCCCGTCCAGATTTGCGCCCCGTACAGTAACTGCGCCAGAGGTTTTGCTTGAAAAACTTCAAGGGCTGCTGGGATGTATCTGCCCCCCTTCGTGTAGAAGAAGCGGGACAGCATCTTGATACTTTGAGCTGCTTTTTCTTTGGCACATTTTTGATGGACATCCCAGGACCCGGTCGACTGGAAAACGATACCCAGATATTTGAAGGCTTTGACTTGTTCAATTGTCTGGTTATCCATCCTCCAGCTGTACTGTCTGTGTTTCCTTGCAAAAACCATAATTTTGGTTTTCTGATAGTTTATTGCAAGTTGCTCTCTCCTACAGTATGCTGAGAATTCACCTATGAGCCTATTTAAGCCTATTCTTGTTCGAGATAGGAGTATCGCATCGTCAGCGTACAAAAGCGCTGATATTGCTTTGTCAGCCAGTTTGGGGGCGTGGAAGTCCGGAGATGACAAACAGTTAACCATATCATTGATGTAGATGTTGAATAGAACTGGGGCCAGGATGCAACCTTGCTTGACCCCCTTACTGACAGGAACTGGTCCTATAAGATGGCCATTTAACGAAGTTCTTACATGCAGCACCGTGTCTTTGTATAAAACAGCTGATCAGAAATAATAGTCTTTTGTCTATGCTTGAGGTGCTCAATTTATCCCAGAGTCTTACACGTGGAATTGAATCGAAAGCAGCCTTTAGATCGATAAAGGCTGCATATAACACCCCACGGGATTTTTTGGCATATTTGTCAATTAAATAGGCTAGGGTGAAGCAATGGTCTATGGTGGATCTGCCTTGCCTGAAACCCGCTTGCTCTTCCGCTAGAATAGCTTCAGTTTCCAGCCAGCTAGTTAGCTTGGTATAAAGATGTTTGGCATATAGTTTGCTGGGTATAGGCAGAAGGCTGATTGGTCTATAACTCGCCGGGTCTGTCATGGGTCCTTTTTTATAGATTGGGATAATTATTGCCTCAGTCCAACCATCTGGGAGTAAACCCGTTGAGTCGATCCAAGAAAATAAAGACGCCAGCAGGGGGGCCCACCAGCCAATGTTGGACTTCAGAAGTTCGGCAGGGATGTAATCATTCCCTGGGGCCTTGTTGTTCTTTAATTGTGCGATTAAATTCTCAACTTCCTTCGCAGTTACTGCTGGCCAATGAGGTAGGTCCTCCAATTGAATGCATAGTTTGTAATGTTGGGCTTCCTGGTCATAGAACAAAGATTGAAAATGGCGCAACCACTCCATTGGTTCCACTGTACAGATGGAATTAGTACGCTCCTGGTCCAGTAGACCAGATATGGTTCGCCAAAAGCAAGTAGTATCTTTCTCGTGCGATGCCTTAACCAACCTGTGCCATGCGGCTCTTTCAGCTTCCAGTTTCTTTCTCCTTAGTAATTGTTTGTACGACCGTCTCAGATAGATATAAGCATTAAGTAGGAGGGCAGTCCCTGATTTCCTGTATCTCCGGTAGGCTGTTCTCATTTGTCTCCTTGTTTGCCTGCACTCCAGGTCAAACCAGCTAGCTCCGTCCTTTGCCCTCTTTGTAGCGGAGCTATGTATCACTGTTGTTAAATGGGGTTTCAATCTTTCCAAAAGTAATTTAAAGCGTTCCATAATCGCAGCTACTGAATTGCCTGATACAATAGCGGAGCGAATAAGCTTTAACTCCACTGACTGAAGAAGGAGGGTTAGGTTTTCATTCAATATTGGGGACCATTTGAGTCTTTTGGGGGCAGGTATATCCAAATTTACAGAAGGTATATATTGTGGCTCGGCAATAGAATAGTCAAAAGGCCGACCTGCAAGCTCTAGAATTAGAGGTAGGTGATCACTCAGAGTATTGTGGCCCACTTGGAACTTCCTTACAAAGCTGTGAGCAAATCTTGAGATTAAGATATAATCTATAACACTTCCCCCAGCCTTGGAGAAATGGGTATATTCCCCGGGGCGGTCCCCCTCTATATTGCCGTTTAATATCAGCAGTTCCCTCCGTCTAGCAGCCTGCACTAAGCAGAGACCTGGGAAATTACTTCTACTATCTTTGGACAGTCGTGTCGCGCCAATATCCGTCTGTTCTTCAGGGTCCATAAATTGGTTGAAATGAGTGTATAGACTGTTGTCATCTGTTCCTATACGAGCGTTGAAGTCTCCACACACAATAGTCAGGGCGGACGGGTAAGTAGATTCGAGAGGCTCTAAAAACGCCTCTAGCTCAGCCCATGTAGCCTTAACAACGGGTTTTTTTTGGCCTGGGGGAATATAGACATTGACCAGCAAGAGAATAGTTCTCTTGAAGCTAAGTAGAGCGGCTGTTGCTAAGGAATTGCAGCTGGGTAGGGCTGTTAGAGAATGCGCCAGCTCCGTGGAAATGAAGCAAGCTAGGCCACCACTAGATCTGCCGCCCCTTAGAGATGGAGAGGCAGGCAGGTAGTGGCAGTTATACCCATTAAGAAATATAGGGTCATTCTGCCATGTCTCCTGAAAGAAGATGATGTCAAATTGCTTAAGGTAACACAGAAATTGTTGATTATTTTTCTTGGCGTGCCAACCCGCGATATTCCAAGACAGCACTTTTAGGCCCCGGGCCCTTCGGGGAGCTGGATCTATGTCACCACCATGTCCAGCAATTCTTTGGTGTCTAAAAAAACACACCCGTTGGCTCTTTTCGAGGCTGGCTGCTTGGAGAGAGTGTAGTGATCCTCTTTTCTTGGTGATTTGGGGCTAGATTTTGGAGTTGGGGGGGAAGCTAATTCATTCGGAGACAATTTAAGATAGCTGTGCCAGGAGCTTTGAGATTTCACACCTTGATTTGGTCTTACTTTATTGTACATCACAGGGGGCTCTGATTGTAATTCCACGTCTACACATTTAAAGGTGCCTCCCACTGTCTTCTTATCCACCAGACATTTGGGAGATATGGGCTGCACATAAGGGTCCTTCATTGTCTCACCTTGATCATCCTTTTTTTCTAGTCTGCTTCGAAGTAAATCAAATCTTTTCAGGATCTCAGTTTGAGCTGGAGAATGCAGTGACCAGAATCGCTTTATCAGCGAGAGTTCTTCCTCCCAAACGGAGTCCTCACTATCCCACGTGAGAGGCCCGACGCCAGTTGGATGTGAGGCTTCCTTTTTTTCATTTGGTGCTGTTTGGTGGGGATGATCCTGCTGGAGCTTATGCTTTCTATTTCGATGGTTTTGGTGGTTGGTTTTTTCCCTTTTGTGAACTTCCACTCCTATGCTCTTGGGCCCTATCAGAGAGGTTGCAGGTGCTCTATTTTCAAATATTCTTAATAGGACTATTCTTTCTTTTTTGAATAGGTTTTTAGCTCTAAGAATGAAACTGGCCAGATTATGATCTAAAAAAGTAATCAATGCTCGTACCGAGCAATCATCTTGATGTAGATACTCTATAGCGGCTATGTCAGTTGCTTTTACTACCCCCGGTAAAATGCCACTTATAATGGACAAAAAGTGGTCTATACGGTCCAACCCTGCATAAAATCTAGGCGGTTTAGGGTAATTAGCAAAGACAAGTTTTTGTGGGATTAGGACTAAACTCCATTCTCTTTTGGGACACAACATCTGTCGAACTTGGGAGGAGTGGTTCCCCTCAATAGTTTGGGTCGCCTGCTCACCTCTGTCTACTGATTCTGTGCTGGCCATGAGAGGACTCTAGTCACCTCCCATGACTTTTAAAACATCTACCTAAAAGATCAGAGCCCTATGCAGAGCCCCCAGGTACCCAAAGGACTGCCTCCTCCCACTTGAACCTGCTCTGAGGATCCTCAGAAGCCTTTTTCCAGGTTCCATGCAATTTTTAAGAGAGGATATTCCCAAAGAGGTTCACCTGGCACTAGGTGTGGTTTTTCCCTTTGAGACAATTGAACTATTTTTTAAATTCATTTTAATTAATTTTTCATTCATAACAATCCAATAGATGCCACATTAATACAATGCCAAGCCATACCAAATCTCAATACAATCAAAAAAGCCAATTAAACAGTTCCGAATTAAACAATTTTGTCTAACTTCCTTTGTTCCGGCTATCAGGAGTTGATGTTATTTCCTTGATCCTGCACCAATTCTTTTAATTAGTCCAAGTTCCACCATTCCAATCTTAATCCTTTGTTCTGGCAGCCACTGATGTAATGGATCTCATTCATATTTTTATAAATCCATATCCATTAATTTGCAGGGGGAGTTTTTGCCCTTTAGCTGTGTGGAATATTTATTTTCCTTCTTCTTTTCTTCATGTTGGAATCAGTCATCTTTCTTCACCCTTGCCAATTCTTTGAGAGGTGATTTGAAAGTACGCCACAGCTCCTCCATCTTGCTTTGAAACCGAAAGCTATCCAGGGTCCGGCTTCTTTTATCTCCTTGCTTTTAACGACCTGGCGTCTTATCAAAATCACAATAGATCCAATTGCACTCTCTTTAATTGGCAATGTACAAATCATCACAAAATTCCACACAAAACAAAAAAAAATCCTTCCAGTAGCACCTTAAAGACCAACTAAATTAGTTCTTGGTATGAGCTTTCGTGTGCATGCACACTTCTTCAGATACAGGGTGTATCTGAAGAAGTGTGCATGCACACGAAAGCTCATACCAAGAACTAACTTAGTTGGTCTTTAAGGTGCTACTGGAAGGAATTTTTTTTGTTTTGACTATGGCAGACCAACACGGCTACCTATCTGTAACTAAAATTCCACACAGTCTCTTATTTCCGGTATTCCATAGATAAAACCATGAGTTAAGTTCCCCTGCATTCCATACATAGCTGTAATCCATTAATAATCCCACTCCATTAATAATTGATTCTTTTTCAGTGAAGGTTTGCTGATATGTAACACAGCAGAAAATAATGTAATGAAAAAACAGGGCCTTCTTTCACTTACATAGTACTCCAATTGCAATGATGAGAGTCCTCTCCAGTTGAAAACCTTGGCACTCAGTGGCAGATTCATTTCGCAGGTTATCTTTCTTCCTCTCCCGAAACATGTCTGCTTCTTACGTCCAAATTCAGATGCATCTTATAAGAAACAGAGATACCTCCACTCATGGTGACCACCTTGGGGAGTTTCCAATACGTGCAGTGCTATACCCTCAGCGTCCCTGCCTCCGCATTCCATCAGAGCGAGAGAAAGTTATCGGACGAATCACAAGGGAAAGCTCTCCTCCCCTGACCGGGGGAGAGGGGGCTTGCAAGGATAACCACTCCCAGATTATCTTTAATTACTGCACAGCTGGCATCCGCTACCACGGACACAGCTGTTTGCCATGGCGTCTGCGCCGGAACCTATTTTTTAAATATTAAGCCCATTCTAGTTTGGTTTTATCCTATATTTATCACTAAGATTTTTATCTGTTTTGTTCATAATAGGTGCCCCCCCCCAAATTAGTCATTGTTTTGATTTTATGGAAGCTGGCGGTAGGAGCCCTTTTCCCTTGAAGAGAGGTAATAATGTCTCTGGGCACAGTTGGTAGAGCAGGAGACTCTTAATTTCAGGGTCAGGGCTTTAAGCCCCAGGTTGGGCAAAAGGATTCCTGCATTGCAGGGGGTTGGACTAGAGATCATGGCCCCTTCCAATTCTCCTTTCTTATCATTAACCGCTCCTCCAAATGTTATTTATCATTTGTGATAACAGTGTTGGGGATCTTAATAATCATGAATTGTTAAAAAAGATTTGTTAGACTTTCAAATCTGGTGAGAAATGCTGCTTTAAAATGAAACGGTATATAAGTTACAGAATTAAAGATAAGTGACGTGTCAAAGTGCAAACATTGCTGAACAAACATTAGGAATCTCCTGGTAGAATTTTACCAGCCTTTGAGCAGGAGATACACACACACACACACACACACACACACACACACACAACCTTGGCACAACAGGTACATAATACAAGCTATTACTTTCTTTGGCAGTGTGCACATTTGTGAGCAAACATACCTGACCACAGAGAGTGCAAATTAGATCTCAATTAGTCATTGACCACCGCCAGAACATTAGGAGAATTCAATTTTTTTAAGTTTTGCAATGGAAAGTGGTTATCACAAAACATGTGACCCATCAACTGGCAGGACCCAGGATCTGTCATAGGTCAAGATATGTGACTAACGTGGAAATTGGAGCTGGCCATTTTTAGTTTGGCAAATATAGTTTTAAGCACTCAGGCAAAACTACACTTCCTGATTATTTTGAGAAGTTAACTAATACTGCAGTTAAAATCCCCAGAGTTTCCACAGAATTTCATTTGGGGAAGGGGGGAATTAGGCAGATGGGGGGAGGTCTTACTAAGGCCAAAAAAGATCTCAAGGAAAGTTAAAATAATTTAGCTAGGACTGGTGATGGTACATAAGGAATCCATTTCTGATTTCCTGTCATAAAGAATTCTGATCTTAGTTATCACTGGAGGCAGCAGAGCTCATATGTTGGGACTAAACCTACTGGAATAAGGACTCCTACATCTTTCTTCTCTGGCATGGAGAATTGAATCAGCTGATTCTGTTGACAGTGGAGTAAAGAAGGAAGACAGGGCTGGAGGTTGCTGTTTGGCCCCTAGTAGCTCTTCTAAGCATTTTTGCAGTGTCTTGCACCAGCTGAGACAACCTGCTGGAAGGTCGCAGCAAGCTGTCATTCCCTGATGCTCTTAGGCACTAAAGCACTTGGTAGAAGAACTCATACAGTTTTTCCTTTATCTTATAGGAAACAATCATTTTAAAGTGCCCTTTGATTTGTGAATAGGTGTTTTGGTTGTATTTTCATACAACGTATGTGGCAACCATACTCAAAAAGTGGGGTGGGGGACAGAGAGGAAAGGGAGAGCAGCCCCTTTTGTAAAGGTTTATTATCTTAATTAATGGACTGTGTGCGCTTGTTATATGTTTTTGATTTAGCCTCGCTGAATGTGTTTTTCTCTTACAGAGTTCTGCTGCTTGTGGTGCAGAAGCTCAGAGTGATGCCATCCAGCCTTCCCACATCAGAGAGGCCATTCGGCGCTATGGCCACAAGATTGGACCCCTTTCCCCATACACAGTATGTAATAACAGAGTCATAAGAAGCTATATTTATAATGTTAAAGCACTTTGATTTTCAAGTGGTCAGCTGAAGAAGCTTTGGAATTGTTGAGAGCAATTTGTGGCAACCATAATTTTTCTTTATAAAATGGCATAATTCTTTGGGGAAATAAAACAGCATTTTCTGTCTGTTTTTGGAAAGACAACAAAGTTTTTTCCCCTTTTAAATATTATTCCCTTTTAATTATAAATTATTCTTTTTGTTTGTTTGAATGTTCAGAGTTGCTACAAAGTTTGAGTGTATAGTTATTTTAAATTATAGGTACTGCAGTATTGTGAAGACTGAATACTCCGAAGAAAGTTGTGTGCCAGATTTTGTCTCTTAACAGAGAATTCATTTCTGATGTGACATATTCAGAGAGACTGGCTTTTATGGAGCCTTCACCTTCTGGTTAAGTTCTAACCTAAGAAAAATCCACAATGGGCTGTGGGGCCATATGCTCGATCCCCCAAGCTGCTCACCATTTATAGATGGTTATGGCTGCCTAAGCCGATCCCATTGGGAGGGTGTATGTGAAGAGGAATAGCTGGGCCTGAGACCTGAAATCTCATTGTACTGAAATCTCACGTTTGGTGTGGGATGTGAACTGATCAGGATATTCTAAGCATAAATGAAGTTCACCAAAACGATGGTACTGTCATTGTACTGCTCCAGATGCACACTTGGGGCTCTTGTACCTGTGGACATCTGCATTCATTTCAGTAGAGGGTACAGCACTGACCTTTGGCCAGAAGGGATTGCAAGGTTGGGGCAAAAAGGGAGCTTATTGTGAGAGGAGTGAAAAAGGCCGATAGGCATTTTACTTCAAATGGCTTGTTAGCCAGGTTGGTCATTAGCCAAGGTACTTTAAGGTCCTTCCAGTTGCTGGTTAGACCTGGACATTGATGCCCAGTTTCTAGTGGCCAGGAGTGCATTTGCAGAGTTAAAGCTAGTGTACCAGCTGCTCCCATTCCTTAAGATGCCTGATTTGGGCATAGGGACACACACCTTATTTACATCCTGTTTGGATTACTGTAACACTCTACATGGGGCTGCCTTGGGAAAGTGCTCAGAAACTTCAGCTGGCTCAAAGAGCTGCAGCCGGATTGTTGACTGGAGCTGGCTATCGGGAGCAGACGAGTCCCTTGCTAGAGCAGCTCCACTGGCTGCCAGTCTGTTCCTGGGCACAGGGCAAAGTGCTGCTTATTACTTAGAAAGCTCTATATGCTTAGATCTTAGCTGTTGGAAAGACCATACAGAGGTACCTTGGGTTACAGACGCTTCAGGTTACAGACTCCGCTAACCCAGAAATAGTACCTCGGGTTAAGAACTTTGCCTCAGAATGAGAACAGAAATTGTGCAGTGGCGGTGCAGCGGCAGCAGGAGGCCCCATTAGCTAAAGTGGTGTTTCAGGTTAAGAACGGACCTCCAGAACAAATTAAGTACTTAATCTGAGGTACCACTGTATTCCCTCATACATACCTGCCCAGGTCCTGAGATCTTTGGGGGAGGCCATTCTCTCAGTCCCACCTCCCTCACAGGCACACTTGGTGGAAAGGTGAGACAGGGTCTTCTTGGTGGTAGCGGGTCTTATTTTTATCTGTAAGCCACCTTGAGTCCTGCCAGGGAAAGAGGTGGGGGATAAAGAAATATATAATGATGAGATACTAAGACGTTGCTTCAGCAGTAGGTACTCCTAGACTGAGCCTTGTATAGGAGCGGCAGCTTTGTATTAACTGCTAGTCCACCTTCACCAAAAGCTGCCTCCTCATTTCACGGAGGCCAGGCTGGCTTTGGAAGATGGAGTCCTCTGGGGCTGCGGAGGGCAAGACGGCATCCTTGGTTCCACAGGCTCTTCTCGGGGAAGTACTTCCCCTGCGTTTGGGGTTTCTGGATCTGTCCGCCCCCCCCCCCCCCCGCCACACACTGAATCACCAGCTTCACCCTCTGAAAAAAGTAATAGGGTCGCCTAAGTTAGCTAATGCTTAAAATAAGTTATCCCCATTCCTGAGGATTTTGGAGGGAAAGACATTTTCATTGATGTTTTGGACTATAGATATTTATTTCAAAAGATAAAAAGATGTTCTGTAAACAATTTATTGATTAATTTGTGGTCCTGATTCTGAATTACTATTTCAACCTATCTCTTTAAAGGGGTTTATGACTGCAAAGTTTGCAGTTCGGGGGGGGGGTGTTTGTCCCATTTCCCCTCATGTACAGTATGTTGCTGATTTAAAATTAATCTGCTTGTGTTGACAATACGGTCATTCAAAAGACAGTGTTGTTTTATGCTGAAGCATTAAAATATGACAAGCTGTGAGTTTCTGAGAGATTACTGAGCACCTCAACTGAAGTTGCCATGGCAGCATGCCAAAAAGTGTCCCTAACTACATGAAAAATAAGCTTCTAAATGAAAAATAAGTTGGCATTCTCTACTGGGGATAACTTGATGCTATGGGATGGAAACTCTTTTAAAAGAAATATGTAGTCTTACGCAGTTGTAACTATTTTCTTCATTGGCTATTTGCCCAAGTTAAAATTTCCTATCACTTTAATGTGGATGTAACACAGAACAGGAAAGCAAAGGGACATTGCACCCTGTACAACCACCACTTGGCATTTAGCAGAGCTTAAGCTTAAGGGCATTAAGCAGAGCTGCTCATGAGCATTGCCTATCCACTTCAGGATATTTTCTCCACGGACATCAAAATAAAGGAGATACAAGTGCTTACAAATGTCATGTGGAAAGCAGTTTAAAGCAGCCTTCACTTGGCCATAATCATGTTCAGGTAACTTTATATTTTGTGTGTGGCAAATCTAGGCTCATGGGGTAAGTTCCCAACTATCTTGAGAGTTAGCAAAAACCAAAACAAAAATTGTGTGTTAAATATTCTACCATCACTATGTATTCGGTTCCATTTCTGTTTAAAACAAATGTCCAATATAGCAATTTAGCAAGGTAAATTGCTCGGATGCCAGCAAATGTGCATTGCAGAGTTTAGAAAGTTTTAAATAGCAGCTCGATAGCTTTGGTGAGTAGCTGCAGCTATAACAAGCTGTGAAATTTAAAAAGTAGTTGGTGGTTCACTGCATTTTGTTGGCTGCACTTGGGGAGGAATATAGTGTGTGTGCATCAGTGGCATTCATATACAGTGGCACCTTGGGTTACATACGCTTCAGGTTACAGACTCCGCTAACTCAGAAATATTACCTTGGGTTAAGAACTTTACCTCAGGAGGAGAACAGAAATCACGCAGCCCACCCCCCCAAAAGCAAAAGGACACGAAAACTAATTTAAATAGAGGCTGGGACTTAATCATACTTAGTGTTGTTTGTTTTGCTGAAGGCCATTGTGTGGAGTTCTCCACTGCAGCAGCATTAACAACAACAGCAACACAATGCATATACTGCTCTTCATTTCAAGAAGAAACATCAAGGCTGTCCACAAACAAATAAAACAACACAATAACAAAAATAAACCCATTTATAAAAATACAGTTACCCATAATTAAAATACATAACAACTACATTAAAAACATTGCTAATTAAAATATACAATGAACCAGCCCGTTACATCATGATAGCTGAAAACAGTTGAAACAGTTAAAGCAACAATATAAGAAGGTGATTCAAGTCTGGAGATCAAGGCAATGCTTGTCTAAACAGGTGTCTTCAAGAGTTAGCAGAATTCCAATATTGATTGGATCTCCCATAATTCAGCAGGGAGCCCACCTTTGTGTTCCCACAAACCAATAATAATCAGATGGACAAATGCCACTTCACCCATTTCAAAACATTAGAAATAGTCAAGGCCCCTCCACTGTTAATATTTTGTAATTAAATCACGTTGAAACTTTTTCTGCATTGATTTAATCACTGAAAAATCATTGCCTACCCTCTGCTGCTAAATTTTGCTAACAGTAACTGCCTAGTCCAGCTTTTGGCTTCATCTGCTCTTGATGGAAATTGTCAATAACAGCATCAATTAGAAAAGATGTCGCTTGGCACAGTGTCATATTCTCTCCAGCAGTGTGCCTTTGAATTCAATGTAACTGCTCTTCTTGGTTTTATGGTTTCAAATCAGAAATATGATCATGATTGTCACAGATAATTTTAATACATCATTGATTTTTATATGTGGGGATTTGCACATGCCCATATTAAGTAGTGGGTGATGTACATAAAGTTTGTAGCAGGTGGGAGTTAGAGGCCCAGTTCAATGCTCACACAAGGAGATCGCATGCAGTCCTTCAATGTTTCTTCCTGTTCCAATTTGGTGCCTATGCTTTTGCTAATGGCCATTCCTCTGGACAGTTTTTTCTGTTTTTCCTGGAGTACGTTCAACAGTGTCTGAAGGCTTAGGTCAAGAGAACTGATATTGTGAATAATAATAATAATAATAATAATAATAATAATAATAATAAATTTTATTTATATCCCGCCCTCCCCAGCCGAAGCCGGGCTGAGATGTTGCCGTAGTATTAGTTTTATGAAGGACTTTCATTCTTGTAAGATGGTGACTATGGTTTTATCATTTATAGACCCTGGCATATAAATAAGAACATAAACATTTCTTATTACATTTAAGTATTTAAAACCATAAATATTGTAAACCAGAAGTTCCCTAGTACATTTTTTTGATACTTCAAAGTTTTTTCATTTAAATGTAGAGTGCAAATTGCTATGGTAAGACACTAATATAATTTGACATGGCCATTATTTTATCCCAAACACTGATTTAAATGTTTCCAGTAGAACCATGAAAACATAAGTTCTATTTCCCTCATGGATATTAAGGAACATACTAAGATTTTTCTTCTTTTTCTTTCACCTGCCCACCTTTACTCCACTTGCGGTGAATCCACATATTGCTCCACATATTGTTAAGCCGCTGGAGATGTAGCTGTCCACTTACTCTACCTGTGGCCAATTTTTAGCCCTTGTTTCTTGAACACTTCCTTACCCAGAAGTTGCAGTCT